CTCTAAATAGAATAATTACGGTTTCAATTAGCATTTCCTGTTGTTACGCCCCGTTTCCAATCCCTTTCATTTACTCTATTATCTATGAGCTAGCCCATAGTCACAGTCGGCCAGAGTAGACCATCAATTAACAATGCCCAAAGTGGAGAGATTGCTGCAGTCATTTTGCTCCTCTTTTCTGTACTTTTCACTATATTTATACATTCTTTCTTCACTCAGTACTGAAGCAGGTATGTTATAAATCTTGTAAAAACACCTTCCGGACTATTTTGTTTTTTTTCCTTTATAATGACCTCGACTATATGACAGCAAACCATGATAACCATAATCGTTCGCTCATAGATAGTAAATAGGACTATTCAGTTACCAGACTAGGTCCACTTTAGCAATTAAGCTAGTCAGGCTGGCTCCAGACTAGTTAAGCCAGGCTATTCATGATATATACATATATAATATCTTATTTATATTATTGCCTACCTTAGGCTTAAAACTTACAGCAATCAGCATTATAATTGTATATTTTAGAAGGTGTTATTTTTACTATTATTATAGACACCCTAGGCACTAAGACTACTTTTAATGAATCATTTACAGTAGCCACCCACAATGTACATTACTGACAGAAAGAAGTTCAATCTCCACATCAAAGGCAGATCAAAACCCAAGGTGCCGAAATGAAGCATAGCAAGAAAACTAGCACTCAGAAAAATGGCCAAGCAATGTCATTGCCTTTGATCTTCCTTTAATCTTGAGGTATTCCTGCGTCAGCAGTTACATCATGGGTGGATACGTATAATATTTATTATGAATGAATATCATTATTGTAATCATATTCATTGAAAATAGTCTTAGTACCTAGGGGGTCTATTATGAGCTTAAGTTAGTCTTGCCCCGAGCAAAATGACAAGAGAGAAATTAATGATCAGTTGATTTAAGGGAAAGTAACTGCACTAAGAGATTACAAGCCCTAAAATAAACAACCCTGAAAAGCTACTATAAAAATAAATCACTGATTAGGTAGGGTTGGGGCTGAATGCATGTTCCTCAGCGAACTGCTTGCTTTTAATTTGCATCCTTTTCTTGAAATAAGGCCTCCCATTTTATAATTGCACGAGGGAATTTTTATAATGTAATAATCTAATTTGGTTACTGTAAAGGAGGTTTATTTTGTGGCCTCAATGTTCATTTTTGTTGGAATTAATTTTCATGCTTTGCAAATTTTTTTAATTATTTTATTTGATGCTAATAAATTTAGTGGAATTATTTTAGTGGATTTGAGCTTGCACAAAAATTAATTCCATGCAAAATAAACCAGCCATGGTTATTCTTTATCTGTAGAATTTACAACTCAACCAGTATCAGTGAATACAAGTCTCAATTCAACTGTCACCTTTACTTGTGAAGCAACTGGAGCATCATTGTTATTTTATTATGTTGGAGAAATGCCTGCAGCTGACATTGTTAATGCTAAAAGAGGATTTATTGAATTAAATCAAGAAACTATTAATGAAACTATAAGAAGACGGCTATCAGTTCATGCAAGAGAAATTAATAATAATACTTATGTGTATTGTGTTGCTTATCCTGGTGACACTAGAAGTGACAATGCTACACTAACAATACAAGGTATAGTAATGTATCAGTTTAATTGTGTCATTAGTCTCTTCTTTAGGTCTATTGGATAGTGTTGGTGATCTGGATTATACCTTTATTAATGGATCCAGTGTATTATTAACATGGACAGTTCCTTATACACTGGATAATGTACCTATCACTGGATACTATATAGTCAATGGATCAGTAAACATTACTACTACTAACAAGAGTATTAGATTATTAGCTACTAATCTTGATCCTTGTATATTAAATAATATATCAGTTTCTCCTAT